GGAATCAGATACCGGTACTTTCCAAAACATAGGCTACATGAAAGCACACAGACCAGGTGGCATTTTTATATTTAAAAGAGGGGGGCTTCTGAAAAATCTGCCCCCAAAAATCAAATAAATTAAAAAAAAAAAAGATAAAGTGTTCATTGTTATTGTTAAATGCCGAGTCGGCAAAATTTCAGCCGTATTTTGGCGGCAGATGAATACTGGTAAAGACATTCTTTATTTTGAAAGAATATCTACGAACATTGCATGGAATACTTCGAATTTTACATTTTATTATACTTTGTAATTGTTTTATTGAGTTAATAAAAGATGCTATTGTCTCCTTTAATAGCTTCCTTATAAGAAGATCGAGTCTTAATTGATCACCGATAAGACTTTTCAATTAAAATGGTAAAGATTTAAAAATGGTTATGTCGATAGCTTTTACCATGCCTGAGTCTTGGTATATGATACATTTAAAGAAATCTAGTCGCACAACCTCCCTACTGTATTTGTTTCTAGTAACCCCCCCCCCCCACCTATCCGTCCATCTACATGTACCATCTCTTGCCGTCTAATTTAAAATATCACGTTTCCAATATAACTTGCAAAGTTTGAGACTGAGCAATAGTATAGGATAAAATAATTTTTAGGGTTGATTAATTTACGTAGAACGAAAATTTAAATTGACACTGAACGTATTATCTTCGCGGGTAAAATATACAGAAAAAATTATATATCTGTTAGAAGATCCTGGAAACTCTGACGAGTGTAGCAAAGAACCAATGAGGGCGCTTCTTACAGTAAGAAGGTGGGACTTTATATCAGTCAATCAGGCGATTTGATATTTTATAGGTCACCAAATAGACTTCGTGTCGAGATCGTCATGCCCTATGGAAATTCCAAAGTGACGGTCATCCCATCACTATATCATGCTGTATATACTCCCGCTTTTCAAGCAGGCGAATTAAAAAAAATAAGGTAAACGATAGTTACATGCTATTACAATAACCGTATAACCGAAGTAAGTTTAGTTGTACTGATAATTATCACCTGTGGTCCTCCGTAGAAAGGCAACGCTATTGTTCATGAACTTATTCTAATTTCCATGATTTGCAGCAGTAGTGACAATATTTTGAAGCAAATTTATTGAGATGAGACAATAAATATTTATCGAATGGGTTAACAAACTCCCGGATTTTCCTTTTTCAGAAGTTAACACGATTACAGTTTGAATCGGTGTACAAATCTCCGTTTTCCGAGATGTATTTTCTCCCGCTACAGAGGGATAATCGCGCTTTAGCGAGATGATCTCGCTAAAGGGGATGTGTTCCCAACCTGTTAAACGGCAAAAATACACGTTTTCTTTTGTTATTTGTTTGTAAAATCTAGTATATTGAACAAATATGTGTTTTGAATATTTTATTAGAAAACCCTATGAAAATTGTAGGTGACCAGAAATTGTATGTTAAGCTTTATTTGGACTGGAGGGTTTTTTACGTGGTGAGGCTACTTAGGATATGGTGGACCGGACGGGACACTATGGTGGACAATATGGACAATATGGTGGACCGTGGATGACGTTGGAACGTGGTGTGAGACTCGCGTGACAACTATGATCGAATTCATCTGTGTTTTGTTCATTGTACATATGTAGATAAATTTATTGTTAATTTTTATAAATCTTGTTGTTTCTTGGTATACAGGAGGTCTTGCAAAATATTATTTATTTTGGTTTGTAAATTCTAATTGAAAGAATCCATCACAACTTGAGGTCAGTTGTGACAGGCTGAGATAAATAATGATTGACATTGAAATATGATTTTGAATAAAAAAAAAGGAAATGATTTAAGGATCTGTTGTCCCATATACCATAACAATCCTAATACTAGGATCCCAATGTGAATTTCCCATTACCACCTACATTATCCTCTTTAGGGGAGTGGAGTTAATGGCACAAATAGTTCACATTGATAACCACTCAGACAATATCTACTACAAAGTTTCAACACTTTGTATTTAGACCTCCTAAAAAATCACAAAAGTAGTACAAGAAAAGGTTGAAATAAGCTTCGGAATCCTCTATCTAAGCACGTGCTACATAACTTTGTTTCTCTTTGCCTATACATGTATAATTTTATATGCAGTCCTAACCTAAAGACCATGGCACTTTAAATGACAACTTTATGATTTTTTCTTCCTACTAAAACTACTGTGCATTACACTTAAAATGATGTTAAATGTCTTAATATACAAATCCATTGGAACTTCAGCGGGAGAATTCTACATTGGAATAATACTTACCAAAGGTATATTAGGAATCTATTGAAACATGGATTTACATTGTCAATGGATCATTGTCAGAATTGATTGCATACAGAATATCGACCATTTAGTCTATTATAATTTTAAATACCGGAACGTAGGATCGAGCCAAAAATGCATTACGCTTGGAGGTCATAAGATTAAAATTGTCTGCATTTCGTTCTATATTTTTGATAGCCGTATTTAATCCATTCTATCTTCGTGGCTAAGTTAAAATCAACGTCTTTTTCTTAAATTCTTTTTTTTTAATTTTTCTAGAAAAAGATCTAAATATGAAATAGAAACACTTAGTGATTACTTTCATTTAAGGTTCACTGATATATAACGAATCGCCATATAAAGGAGGTAACATTTGACAACGAGTCGTCGTTTTACTTAATGAGTAGAAGGCCATAATAAATGTTTCCTCACTTAAAAGTTTCTCACAAGTTTTGTTCAACATGAACACACAACAGGTCTGGAAATAGAGTTGTTAATAAAGGGGAACAACAGATGGTTGGAATTAAGACTGGATTTCCAAAACCCATAAAAATACTGCATACATCAAACCATCTGTAAGCATGCACGATCGGTTTTACAACAAATTTTAAAACAACACCTGAAATGACAAAGAAACAAAATTTGTTCGAGAATTATTCACTCATATAAAGACCCCATCACTTGCCGATATAGGGCTGCAAAGTTCGTCCTATATTCGGCACTCAAGGCAATTAAGGAAAAATAATCAGTAGTCATAAAACTCTCAACTTTCTTGCAATATAGATAAATAAAAGTGCAAACAGAAAGTACAACTTTGGTGACGACAGAACTTGAAGTCAGCGTTATTTTCTCATTATCATTCTCACTTCCTTCATAGAGTAATAGAACCCTCTCCAGGCGTACCAGGTGATGCAGTTAGAGAAGTCCGTGTTACTATACTAACCGTTAGGGTAAAACTAGAACCCTGACGACAGGCGAACCAGATATACAATTTTCAGTTACATTCTATGTATGTTTTTGCATTAAGTTACCTATATGATCTAGACTGAAGAAGTTTTGTTAGCATTTAAAAATGAATATTATCAAAATACTTTTTTCAAAGTATTGAAAGATGTAGATACAATTATATAAACAGTCTCGTTTGAAGTTAACAGATCCACGGTAAAAACAATAACCTTGTACGCAAATATACAGTCCATCGTTAATGTCAAATGTTGTTTTCCTATCATTCCTTTGCCCGACAAGGAGCAAATCGCGAGTGGGAAAATTGATAGGGGATGCTCATGCATATATCTGTGGTACATTATCCCACCTCTGATGTTTTAGAGGTCCGTGATTTCTCCTTCCAATTTGTATTGACCAAGATTCATTCTTGAGCTTGAATATTTTTCGTTATTTCCATGTTTCAATACACAATTAAACGAACCTATACTAGGTAGTTTTGTATATAAAATAGATTTTCATTACTTTCTTTACTACATGTATATATGTGAGGAAGCTTGCGATAGTTAACAAAGGTTTAAATCCCTGCTATATTTAAACCAAGAATAATAAATACCTGACAGGTAGATAACACAGGTAAACAGGTCATGTGACGAAAACACACGAGAACACAGACAACAGCCATTTTATTTACTGGCAGCCATTATCGTCTGAGAAGTCAGGTAATACTATTACCTAGCTGCTCAGTTAATCCGTAATGTTTGTATATAAATCAATGATTTTTGTACATGTATTTCTTTTGATATTTTTTAATTATACTAGATATCATTAAATGTAGTAATAACTATTAGGTTTGTCAATGATATCACTCTTGAAAACATAAACAAAACAATTATTATAGGAAACATTACTAACGATTTTTAAGATCAATGAATAAAGAGATCAGTATACAACTGTTTTTTTTTTGTCATTCAGACTAGATCATTTGAAAGAAGATTATACATTTGCAAAACATAAATATGACCAAAATCCCACCCTGGAGCATGAACCATGGACTTTATGTTTTAATCATATGGTATTTCTTTTAATATAAAAATTCAAAATAAAATATAATATGCCTGCCATATATCCTTCAGAAAAAAAAGATTTCAAACATGTATTTTTTTTTCAATATTTAACCAACATAGCTCTATCTTAAAGTCTAATTTTGTACTTCAGAGTTGGTAAATTTAACTATGGACCCCCGTACCAGTGCCCAGGACGTGATGCGATGTGACCTGTGCGAGACCGCTGTGGTACAGATGCACTGTGATACGTGTCTTGTCAACCTGTGTAAGGCCTGTGTGGGAGAACACATGATCTCTGATCAATCCAAAAAACATGAAATTGTCCCATTTCAGCTTCGAAAATCTACTCCCCTCTACCCTATCTGCAAATTACATCACAATCAGCAATGTACATTATACTGTAATCAATGTGACATTCCTGTTTGTACAAAATGCATTGCATCTGATCAACATCTGAGTCATAAGTTTTCAGAAATATTGCAGATTGTGGACAAGAAAAAACACAAAATCATCGAGGAACAAACCGAATTAAATGAGACCATTTTTCCAACTTACCAGGACATTGCCTCTGATGTACAAAACAGAATGAGTCAGTTGGAAAAGGAATATGGAGATCTCTCAACAGCCATAACAAAACATGGAGAGGACTGGCACAGAGAAATTGACAAACTTGTCCAGAAACTTAAAACTGGAATTGATGAGATGAAAAACACACAGTTACAATCTCTACAGAAACAACTGGATGAAATAAACAAGACAATGTCTGACATCAAGGATGATATCAATTCAGTTGACATGGTGTTAGACACTAATGATTTATCAATGTTATTTAGTGTCACCTCTAATGTGAATATTTACAGAAATCTTCCACCAAAACTAGCACCATCTCTACCGAAATTCAATACAGAAAAAATCCAAGGAGAAAAACTCGATAAACTGTTCGGAACCTTATTATCAAGTTCTTTAACTTCAGATAAACATGGATATAGCATAAAGACATCACAGAAATCAGCAGAAGCTGGATTCTCTCCTCCAGTCAAACAGATGCTTGATGAACCAGAAACTGTCACCATTATAGACACTGGGTATAGAAAATTTTTTTACCATGTGGCCTGTCTGAGTGATGATGATATATGGACAAGTGGAGATGACAACAGAATGAAACTCTACAGCATCAATCAGGGATCACTTCTCAAGTCAATCAGAACCAAGTCAGGGAACACACCAACTGACATAGCAGTGACAAAAAGTGGAGACCTAGTTTATACCGATTACAAAGATAGAACTGTGAACATAGTGAAGGAGAAGATAGAGGAGGTGATCAGACTGCAGAACTGGAAACCTTGCGGTGTCTGTAGTACCTCCTCTGGTGACCTCCTCGTTACCATGGAAAATGATGATGGCAAAAAAACAAAAGTTGTCCGTTACACTGGCTTCACAGAGAAACAAACTATCCAGTTTGATGATCAAGGTAAACCTCTCTATTCATCTGGTCGTTATAGCAGATACATAACTGAGAACAGGAACCTGGATATCTGTGTGTCTGACTATTTTGCTAAAGCAGTAGTGGTGGTCAATCAGGCCGGGAAATTGAGATTCAGATACACTGGACATACTCCTGGTCCAAACAACAAACCATTTGATCCACGAGGAATCACCACAGACAGTCAGGGTCACATCCTTACAGCTGATGATAAAAATGACTGTGTCCACCTCATAGACCAGGATGGACAGTTTCTCCGTTACATAGACTGTGGACTGAGTTATCCCCGGGGATTGTGTACAGATACAAATGACAATCTGTTTGTTACTCAACTAATCAACAGAAAAGTGAAAAAAATTAATTACCATTGTTGATTCTAGGGCTATGTATTGAGTAAATGAAAGCGATATGATGTAATCACTATAAAAACAATATGTAGGACATCAATTCTATTACAAATAGAGTTTATTAAAAATCTCCTTGCACAGTTAACAAATATTTTAATTACAATATGCCTACACATAGAACATTTGTAGATATTGTTTTGTGAATAAATTAAAAGTATAATTGTGCTTTACTTTAACTATAATGATACCAAATGTAAACTTAATTTGGAATCTATCAAGCTCACAATTTGTCTATAATAATTCCTATGAGGAGTACACCCAGTCAATCCATAAGACCTATGTACAATCAGCCCTCTGTACTAATATATCCTCCGTCAAAATGAGGGTAAAAACAATGGGTATGAAACAAGTTAGTCACAGTACATGTATGAGCTATAATAAGTTGTAAACAGGTCATTTCATTAATCATAGAATTGGGAGACAAAATAACTTTTTCCATTCTTATTGTAGCCTTCATCAAATCTTTCCTTTAATAGCTAACAGTAATAATAAGAAATAGGTCATCTTCTGATGTGGTGGAATTGTCATTCCGGATTTTTGTATTTTGTTCATTGGTCGGTTTAGGTTTTTCATTTTAGAATTCAGACATTTCCCCGCAAACACGCTGCTTGTATTTTTTGATTGTTTCCATTTATGAAGAGCCAAAGAGTAAGTTTTATCAAGTGCATTATATTAATATGATTGTTAATGATGTATATTATTAGTTTAGTGCAGTTGTTAAGTCAGAATTTGTGCAGATTTACTTTTTACTTTATACACGTGTTTATCATTGGCTTAGGCTAGGTATAAAACATGGATGGGTCATTCTACGGATAGAGGCCCAAACGAACTTTCCAAAAGTCAGATTTCCTATACCCTATTTTATTCAATTTTTCTGCGTTATTTACTAAATCTAACTTAGAGGAAACCATTTCAACATGCAGCAGCAATGTTTAAAATATTTTATTGCTTATTTTGAGACTTAAACATACATACATGAAAAAAAAATGTCATTAATACCGCAACAGACGACTAAATCGTCATAAAATATTGTTACAGTATTAAACCGATTTTTTCATAGTTTGAAGTAATAAATCTTAGTAATATCTTACCTTCATGATTATTTGAGTGAAATATTTGCACATTATTTTTCGTACTGTGGTGTTAAATCTACGTTTTTAAAAAATGCAAAAAAACCATTGGTCAATAAACCACTTGAGGAGTGTATATGATTATTTTACTTCCATTTTTCTACGGTGTGAGATTTCACGGACTCATGCATGTTGATTAAACACTTTATTACATTTATTATTAGATTAATTGATAATTAATTGACCTATTTTCTCCTCGTTATGGTAATGACATTGCGTTGCGGTAGTGACAATGCATTAAGAAACACGTGCTTTATAATGGTATACAACCCCCTCCCCCAGTTATCATGCCTTATATTTTCCAAATTTATTTAGAAACAGTCATGGCTTGAGCAAAATTAATTTTTAAACAGGTAATTCATCATCATTTGAAAACAATTGTTCAAAACACTGTGTATTAGATGTAGGTAAGTCTTGTCTATACCTCCCAGGACTGGACCCACACATAGGAGTTATTTGCAACAACCTCTTGTGCAGAAAACACTAGTAAAATAGTGTTGTAAAATCCATGCACAAGACAATCTAAAGATGATTTGTCATTACCGTAACACTGATGTCATTACCAAAACGATTTGATTCAATGGATTTGTTTCGGTAATGACACGTTTCGGTAATGACATTTTGAAATGTTAAACAGAATATAGAGGGCGCTACTTGCCAAAAGGGGTTAAATAATGTACAACACAATTCAAAACCAATCTATATTTCTTTCTAAACAATTTCATTTTTCCTAGGTGATCGTACTTTTATTGTAGCAAGCATTCGGTAATGACACTGAATAAACATACGCTTGAAAGTAAGACCATTTAAAATGTAATATCTGCTTACTTAACCACAGGAGAGCGTTATGCCTTGTATCAAAGATGGCGATTTCTGAAACTTTTAATCACGTGGCTTCTTCTTTTGGATTATCGTTCTTGTCTCTTATATTTTGCAGTTTTATCTCTCCGTTTCGGTAATGACAAGAATATCAGGGACACCGTTTTACAAACAATAAATTATTAAAAAAAAGAATTTAGTAACCCGTATCTTTTTTGAATCAACAATGGAATATTTTATTATACCTTAGTAATCTCGACAGGTTAAATTTTGACAGAAAATTCAGTTTTCACACACGCATATTCAATATTAAAAATTCGATCTTGTAGTTTGGGACATGGCATTTCAAAGCAAGTCCATGACATTAAATTTTTTTTAAAGAATTAATATTGCTTTCAGGGGTGCCCTAATGATGTGTATGCATATTTATTATTTCCTTCTTCAATATTCCAGATTTAATTTTAAAATTTCATAAACCAGGAATTGCTCAAAACATACTAAAGTGACGGGACACCATTTGGGCCTCTATTCGTAGAATGACCCGGATTGTCTTTTATGATTTTGTATATCGAATCTCGATTTATCTCATTGATACTAACCTTATGCATAATATATAGTAATTTTGCATTAATTTGTCTCTATGCTAGATTGATAGATTTAGAATTACTGTTTGGAACTGTGTAAAACCCTCATTTTCGTCTATTTTCTAAGTTTGGTATATTGTAAAATTTGGATTGGCGTGTTAGGCTTGAATATGGTTTTTAGCTATCATTCAATTGTATTTTTGTGTGAACTCATACTTATGTATCTTTGTTATTTGTTTCAGTATTTCACCCTCTCAGGAGGAGGCACAATAAAGTTTTCGCAAGACTAAGCAGACTTGTTGTAGCACAGTGAAATATCTCGCTCCATAGTGAAAGATCTCATTCCACTCATGTCGTCCAAGATGAGCCTGAAATCGGAACCACGCACAGCAAGGGAGATGACCCGGATACGTCCATTGTCTAAACTGGGACATGAACAATATGAATCTGCAGTTGACAGACACTTGCAGAAGATTCGGGACATAAAGCGGGAAATCGACGGTTGTATAGATGACATCAAGTTAGTGAAACCCTCCAGCAAAGGTTGTATCGATGCCTTTCGTCAACTCTTGAGTTCATCCTATAGTGCGTACGTAAAACGTTCTTCAGACTTTTTGGCCTATCTACAAGGCATTCGTACTGCTGAAAGCTTAAATGAAGCTGCAGCGCACCGCTGCATAATGGACGCTATGAGTTTAAAGATAGAAGCTGCAAAAACCAATTTAGACGAACTCTGTAACGCAAGTGACTCGAAGACTTATCGACAGAAAGACGAACAGTACTCATCAAAGTCACGAACAGCAGAATCTACATCCTCCAGGCAGATTCATAGGAAACATAGCCCCAGCAGATCAAGATCAGAGAAATCTAGTGAAATTTCATCAGAACTTACTAAGTATAGCTTAAGCGGAAGTTCGAGTACATATCTCCAAAGAGTGGAGGCAAAGCTGAATGCTTCCCGGGCAAAATTGAAATATGTCGCAAAGGAGGTTATTATTCTGAAGGAAAGGGCAGCATTAGACGCGCAGCTTAAGTTAGTCAAAGCTGAATGTGAGATTGAGATGAGGGAAAAAGAAATCGAAGCCATGAGAGAGACATTCAAGCTAGACACAGAAGATCCCGAGATGTCTTCAACGAGAAGATCGCGCACGGTGGAATATGTGCAGAGTCTCCCTATCCCTCAGCTCACGAATGAGCCACAGAATGACACCCCTCCAGAAGTGGTCCAGAAAGTTTTTGCTCAAGAGACAGTAAAAGTAAACAACTCCAGTAATGATCATGGCAAAGGAACTCACCTTGACCCAGATGCCCCTTCTTTCACCCCCAGTAGACTTCCCCCTCACAGAGCTCAGATGATCACATCATCCCCTGTGCATGCTCATGATTCTGACAATAGACACAATACATGTGTAGTTGAAGATCATGTTTGTGACTCACCGGTGACAAACGCATCTAACCAGATGACGGAATTTACCAAATTTTTAGTGAAAAAGGATTTACTTTTGTCAAGACTTACAAGGTATGATGACAACCCAATGCTGTATGTTTCTTGGAAATTAAACTTCAAAGGGATCATGAAGGAGTTGGATGCGACAGCAACTGAAGAACTTGACCTCTTAGTTAGATGGTTGGGACCCGCATCATCCAGACAAGCCAACACCATTCGTGCGTGCAATGCTGACAATTCAGCTCTAGCAGTCCAGAAAATATGGGAGAGGCTCGAGGAGAGGTTTGGTTCACCCGAGATGTTGGAAAGAAGTCTGAAGGAGCGTATTACATCTTTTCCTAGAATTGCCGCCAATGACAACAGACGTCTATTCGACTTAGCTGACCTAGTCAGTGAGATAGCATCTGTGAAGGAGCAACCACAATACCGTGTTCTCTTTGGTTATTTCGATTCCTCCACCGGGATTAACCCGATCGTATCAAAGCTACCATGGAACCTACAGGAGAAGTGGGTAACAGAAGCTAGTAGATTCAAGAGACAACAGGGAAGCACCTTCCCACCCTTTTCAGTTTTTGTCAAGTTTGTACAAGACATGGCCAAGACTCGGAATGACCCAAGTTTCCAGTTCGACCGCACAGAAAGAACAAGTCCAAGTTCAAGTGTACCAAAGAAAACATCAACTGTGGTGGTTAAGAAGACAGACACTATGAGTAACGCTACTAATCAAGACAATTCACAACTGTGTCCTTTACACCAGACAAAGCATTTACTCAATGAATGTTCTGCCTTCCGCCGAAAGCCACTTGAAGAGCGCAAGAAGTTTATACTTACCAATGGTATATGTTTCAAGTGCTGCGGACCTAAGAAACACAGAGCCATGAACTGTAAGACAAATGTGAAATGTGACATCTGTAAAAAACCTTCTCATCCGAGTGCGCTTCATGTGGATGTGGATCGCCACGTAGGGGAGCCCTCACAAGAAGGAACAGTGAAGAATGCCTGCACTCAAGTTTGTGGAAAACCAAGGGGCACCAGCAGATCCTGCGCTAAGATTATACCAGTCAGGGTATATCTCAAGGATGATCCACAGGAGTGTCGCGTTGTGTATGCTCTCATAGATGACCAGAGCAGTCATTCGTTAGCAACAACACCATTCTTTGACTTCTTTTCACCTGGAAGTTCAAAACACCAGTACGTATTGTCTTCATGCGCTGGAAGACTTACTACTTCAGGAAGGCGGGGTCATGGTTACGTGATCGAGTCATTGGATTTGACATGCAAGTTGGAGTTACCAAGTGTCATTGAGTGCAATGACATACCAAATAACAGAGACGAAATACCGTTTCCTGCTGTTGCACGGCAGTACCCTCACCTTCAAGAAATTGCTGCATTCATACCTACCGTGATGGATGACGTTGAGATCGAACTTCTTATAGGACGAGATGTTGTCTCGACACACCATGTTCTGGATCAGAAACTTGGTGAGAATAACCTTCCAATAGCTCAAAGGCTCTCACTTGGTTGGGTCATAATTGGACAAGTTTGTATGGGAAATCTGCACCATGCAAGTGTTACACTTAAAATGATGTTAAATGTCTTAATATACAAATCCATTGGAACTTCAGCGGGAGAATTCTACATTGGAATAATACTTACCAAAGGTATATTAGGAATCTATTGAAACATGGATTTACATTGTCAATGGATCATTGTCAGAATTGATTGCATACAGAATATCGACCATTTAGTCTATTATAATTTTAAATACCGGAACGTAGGATCGAGCCAAAAATGCATTACGCTTGGAGGTCATAAGATTAAAATTGTCTGCATTTCGTTCTATATTTTTGATAGCCGTATTTAATCCATTCTATCTTCGTGGCTAAGTTAAAATCAACGTCTTTTTCTTAAATTCTTTTTTTTTAATTTTTCTAGAAAAAGATCTAAATATGAAATAGAAACACTTAGTGATTACTTTCATTCAAGGTTCACTGATATATAACGAATCGCCATATAAAGGAGGTAACATTTGACAACGAGTCGTCGTTTTACTTAATGAGTAGAAGGCCATAATAAATGTTTCCTCACTTAAAAGTTTCTCACAAGTTTTGTTCAACATGAACACACAACAGGTCTGGAAATAGAGTTGTTAATAAAGGGGAACAACAGATGGTTGGAATTAAGACTGGATTTCCAAAACCCATAAAAATACTGCATACATCAAACCATCTGTAAGCATGCACGATCGGTTTTACAACAAATTTTAAAACAACACCTGAAATGACAAAGAAACAAAATTTGTTCGAGAATTATTCACTCATATAAAGACCCCATCACTTGCCGATATAGGGCTGCAAAGTTCGTCCTATATTCGGCACTCAAGGCAATTAAGGAAAAATAATCAGTAGTCATAAAACTCTCAACTTTCTTGCAATATAGATAAATAAAAGTGCAAACAGAAAGTACAACTTTGGTGACGACAGAACTTGAAGTCAGCGTTATTTTCTCATTATCATTCTCACTTCCTTCATAGAGTAATAGAACCCTCTCCAGGCGTACCAGGTGATGCAGTTAGAGAAGTCCGTGTTACTATACTAACCGTTAGGGTAAAACTAGAACCCTGACGACAGGCGAACCAGATATACAATTTTCAGTTACATTCTATGTATGTTTTTGCATTAAGTTACCTATATGATCTAGACTGAAGAAGTTTTGTTAGCATTTAAAAATGGATATTATCAAAATACTTTTTTCAAAGTATTGAAAGATGTAGATACAATTATATAAACAGTCTCGTTTGAAGTTAACAGATCCACGGTAAAAACAATAACCTTGTACGCAAATATACAGTCCATCGTTAATGTCAAATGTTGTTTTCCTATCATTCCTTTGCCCGACAAGGAGCAAATCGCGAGTGGGAAAATTGATAGGGGATGCTCATGCATATATCTGTGGTACATTATCCCACCTCTGATGTTTTAGAGGTCCGTGATTTCTCCTTCCAATTTGTATTGACCAAGATTCATTCTTGAGCTTGAATATTTTTCGTTATTTCCATGTTTCAATACACAATTAAACGAACCTATACTAGGTAGTTTTGTATATAAAATAGATTTTCATTACTTTCTATACTACATGTATATATGTGAGGAAGCTTGCGATAGTTAACAAAGGTTTAAATCCCTGCTATATTTAAACCAAGAATAATAAATACCTGACAGGTAGATAACACAGGTAAACAGGTCATGTGACGAAAACACACGAGAACACAGACAACAGCCATTTTATTTACTGGCAGCCATTATCGTCTGAGAAGTCAGGTAATACTATTACCTAGCTGCTCAGTTAATCCGTAATGTTTGTATATAAATCAATGATTTTTGTACATGTATTTCTTTTGATATTTTTTAATTATACTAGATATCATTAAATGTAGTAATAACTATTAGGTTTGTCAATGATATCACTCTTGAAAACATAAACAAAACAATTATTATAGGAAACATTACTAACGATTTTTAAGATCAATGAATAAAGAGATCAGTATACAACTGTTTTTTTTTTTGTCATTCAGACTAGATCATTTGAAAGAAGATTATACATTTGCAAAACATAAATATGACCAAAATCCCACCCTGGAGCATGAACCATGGACTTTATGTTTTAATCATATGGTATTTCTTTTAATATAAAAATTCAAAATAAAATATAATATGCCTGCCATATATCCTTCAGAAAAAAAAGATTTCAAACATGTATTTTTTTTTCAATATTTAACCAACATAGCTCTATCTTAAAGTCTAATTTTGTACTTCAGAGTTGGTAAATTTAACTATGGACCCCCGTACCAGTGCCCAGGACGTGATGCGATGTGACCTGTGCGAGACCGCTGTGGTACAGATGCACTGTGATACGTGTCTTGTCAACCTGTGTAAGGCCTGTGTGGGAGAACACATGATCTCTGATCAATCCAAAAAACATGAAATTGTCCCATTTCAGCTTCGAAAATCTACTCCCCTCTACCCTATCTGCAAATTACATCACAATCAGCAATGTACATTATACTGTAATCAATGTGACATTCCTGTTTGTACAAAATGCATTGCATCTGATCAACATCTGAGTCATAAGTTTTCAGAAATATTGCAGATTGTGGACAAGAAAAAACACAAAATCATCGAGGAACAAACCGAATTAAATGAGACCATTTTTCCAACTTACCAGGACATTGCCTCTGATGTACAAAACAGAATGAGTCAGTTGGAAAAGGAATATGGAGATCTCTCAACAGCCATAACAAAACATGGAGAGGACTGGCACAGAGAAATTGACAAACTTGTCCAGAAACTTAAAACTGGAATTGATGAGATGAAAAACACACAGTTACAATCTCTACAGAAACAACTGGATGAAATAAACAAGACAATGTCTGACATCAAGGATGATATCAATTCAGTTGACATGGTGTTAGACACTAATGATTTATCAATGTTATTTAGTGTCACCTCTAATGTGAATATTTACAGAAATCTTCCACCAAAACTAGCACCATCTCTACCGAAATTCAATACAGAAAAAATCCAAGGAGAAAAACTCGATAAACTGTTCGGAACCTTATTATCAAGTTCTTTAACTTCAGATAAACATGGATATAGCATAAAGACATCACAGAAATCAGCAGAAGCTGGATTCTCTCCTCCAGTCAAACAGATGCTTGATGAACCAGAAACTGTCACCATTATAGACACTGGGTATAGAAAATTTTTTTACCATGTGGCCTGTCTGAGTGATGATGATATATGGACAAGTGGAGATGACAACAGAATGAAACTCTACAGCATCAATCAGGGATCACTTCTCAAGTCAATCAGAACCAAGTCAGGGAACACACCAACTGACATAGCAGTGACAAAAAGTGGAGACCTAGTTTATACCGATTACAAAGATAGAACTGTGAACATAGTGAAGGAGAAGATAGAGGAGGTGATCAGACTGCAGAACTGGAAACCTTGCGGTGTCTGTAGTACCTCCTCTGGTGACCTCCTCGTTACCATGGAAAATGATGATGGCAAAAAAACAAAAGTTGTCCGTTACACTGGCTTCACAGAGAAACAAACTATCCAGTTTGATGATCAAAGTAAACCTCTCTATTCATCTGGTCGTTATAGTAGATACATAACTGAGAACAGGAACCTGGATATCTGTGTGTCTGACTATTTTGCTAAAGCAGTAGTGGTGGTCAATCAGGCCGGGAAACTGAGATTCAGATACACTGGACATACTCCTGGTCCAAACAACAAACCATTTGATCCACGAGGAATCACCACAGACAGTCAGGGTCACATCCTTACAGCTGATTATAACAATGAATGTGTCCACCTCATAGACCAGGATGGACAGTTTCTCCGTTACATAGACTGTGGACTGAGTGAACCCTGGGGATTGTGTACAGATACAAATGACAATCTGTTTGTTACTCAACTAATCAACAGAAAAGTGAAAAAAATTAATTACCATTGTTGATTCTAGGGCTATGTATTGAGTAAATGAAAGCGATATGATGTAATCACTATAAAAACAATATGTAGGACATCAATTCTATTACAAATAGAGTTTATTAAAAATCTCCTTGCACAGTTAACAAATATTTTAATTACAATATGCCTACACATAGAACATTTGTAGATATTGTTTTGTGAATAAATTAAAAGCATAATTGTGCTTTACTTTAACTATAATGATACCAAATGTAAACTTAATTTGGAATCTATCAAGCTCACAATTTGTCTATAATAATTCCTATGAGGAGTACACCCAGTCAATCCATAAGACCTATGTACAATCAGCCCTCTGTACTAATATCCTCGGTCAAAATGAGGGTAAAAACAATGGGTATGAAACAAGTTAGTCACAGTACATGTATGACCTATAATAAGTTGTAAACAGGTCATTTTAATAATCATAGAATTGGGAGACAAAATAACTTTTTCCATTCTTATTATAGCCTTCATCAAACCTTTCCTTTAATTGGTAACAGTAATAATAAGAAATAGGTCATCTTCTGATGTGGTGGAATTGTCATTCCGGATTTTTGTTTTTTTGTTCATTGGTCGGTTTAGGTTTTTCATTTTAGAATTCAGACATTTCCCCGCAAACACGCTGCTTGTATTTTTTGATTGTTTCCATTTATGAAGAGCCAAAGAGTAAGTTTTATCAAGTGCATTATATTAATATGATTGTTAATGATGTATATTATTAGTTTAGTGCAGTTGTTAAGTCAGAATTTGTGCAGATTTACTTTTTACTTTATACACGTGTTTATCATTGGCTTAGGCTAGGTATAAAACATGGATGGGTCATTCTACGGATAGAGGCCCAAACGAACTTTCCAAAAGTCAGATTTCCTATACCCTATTTTATTCAATTTTTCTGCGTTATTTACTAAATCTAACTTAGAGGAAACCATTTCAACATGCAGCAGCAATGTTTAAAATATTTTATTGCTTATTTTGAGACTTAAACATACATTCATGAAAAAAAAATTGTCATTACCGCAACAGACGACTAAATTGTCATAAAATATTGTTACAGTATTAAACCAATTTTTTCATAGTTTGAAGTAATAAATCTTAGTAATATCTTACCTTCCTGATTATTTGAGTGAAATATTTGCACATTATTTTTCGTACTGTGGTGTTAAATTTACGTTTTTAAAAAATGCAAAAAAACCATTGGTCAATAAACCACTTGAGGAGTGTATATGATTATTTTACTTCCATTTTTCTACGGTGTGAGATTTCACGGACTCATGCATGTTGATTAAACACTTTATTACATTTATTATTAGATTAATTGATAATTAATTGACCTATTTTCTCCTCGTTATGGTAATGACATTGCGTTGCGGTAGTGACAATGCATTAAGAAACACGTGCTTTATAATGGTATACAACCCCCTCCCCCAGTTATCATGCCTTATATTTTCCAAATTTATTTAGAAACAGTCATGGCTTGAGCAAAATTAATTTTTAAACAGGTAATTCATCATCATTTGAAAACAATTGTTCAAAACACTGTGTATTAGATGTAGGTAAGTCTTGTCTATACCTCCCAGGACTGGACCCACACATAGGAGTTATTTGCAACAACCTCTTGTGCAGAAAACACTAGTAAAATAGTGTTGTAAAATCCATGCACAAGACAATCTAAAGATGATTTGTCATTACCGTAACACTGATGTCATTACCAAAACGATTTGATTCAATGGATTTGTTTCGGTAATGACACGTTTCGGTAATGACATTTTGAAATGTTAAACAGAATATAGAGGGCGCTACTTGCCAAAAGGGGTTAAATAATGTACAACACAATTCAAAACCAATCTATATTTCTTTCTAAACAATTTCATTTTTCCTAGGTGATCGTACTTTTATTGTAGCAAGCATTCGGTAATGACACTGAATAAACATACGCTTGAAAGTAAGACCATTTAAAATGTAATATCTGCTTACTTAACCACAGGAGAGCGTTATGCCTTGTATCAAAGATGGCGATTTCTGAAACTTTTAATCACGTGGCTTCTTCTTTTGGATTATCGTTCTTGTCTCTTATATTTTGCAGTTTTATCTCTCCGTTTCGGTAATGACAAGAATATCAGGGACACCGTTTTACAAACAATAAATTATTAAAAAAAAGAATTTAGTAACCCGTATCTTTTTTGAATCAACAATGGAATATTTTATTATACCTTAGTAATCTCGACAGGTTAAATTTTGACAGAAAATTCAGTTTTCACACACGCATATTCAATATTAAAAATTCGATCTTGTAGTTTGGGACATGGCATTTCAAAGCAAGTCCATGACATTAAATTTTTTTTAAAGAATTAATATTGCTTTCAGGGGTGCCCTAATGATGTGTATGCATATTTATTATTTCCTTCTTCAATATTCCAGATTTAATTTTAAAATTTCATAAACCAGGAATTGCTCAAAACATACTAAAGTGACGGGACACCATTTGGGCCTCTATTCGTAGAATGACCCGGATTGTCTTTTATGATTTTGTATATCGAATCTCGATTTATCTCATTGATACTAACCTTATGCATAATATATAGTAATTTTGCATTAATTTGTCTCTATGCTAGATTGATAGATTTAGAATTACTGTTTGGAACTGTGTAAAACCCTCATTTTCGTCTATTTTCTAAGTTTGGTATATTGTAAAATTTGGATTGGCGTGTTAGGCTTGAATATGGTTTTTAGCTATCATTCAATTGTATTTTTGTGTGAACTCATACTTATGTATCTTTGTTATTTGTTTCAGTATTTCACCCTCTCAGGAGGAGGCACAATAAAGTTTTCGCAAGACTAAGCAGACTTGTTGTAGCACAGTGAAATATCTCGCTCCATAGTGAAAGATCTCATTCCACTCATGTCGTCCAAGATGAGCCTGAAATCGGAACCACGCACAGCAAGGGAGATGACCCGGATACGTCCATTGTCTAAACTGGGACATGAACAATATGAATCTGCAGTTGACAGACACTTGCAGAAGATTCGGGACATAAAGCGGGAAATCGACGGTTGTATAGATGACATCAAGTTAGTGAAACCCTCCAGCAAAGGTTGTATCGATGCCTTTCGTCAACTCTTGAGTTCATCCTATAGTGCGTACGTAAAACGTTCTTCAGACTTTTTGGCCTATCTACAAGGCATTCGTACTGCTGAAAGCTTAAATGAAGCTGCAGCGCACCGCTGCATAATGGACGCTATGAGTTTAAAGATAGAAGCTGCAAAAACCAATTTAGACGAACTCTGTAACGCAAGTGACTCGAAGACTTATCGACAGAAAGACGAACAGTACTCATCAAAGTCACGAACAGCAGAATCTACATCCTCCAGGCAGATTCATAGGAAACATAGCCCCAGCAGATCAAGATCAGAGAAATCTAGTGAAATTTCATCAGAACTTACTAAGTATAGCTTAAGCGGAAGTTCGAGTACATATCTCCAAAGAGTGGAGGCAAAGCTGAATGCTTCCCGGGCAAAATTGAAATATGTCGCAAAGGAGGTTATTATTCTGAAGGAAAGGGCAGCATTAGACGCGCAGCTTAAGTTAGTCAAAGCTGAATGTGAGATTGAGATGAGGGAAAAAGAAATCGAAGCCATGAGAGAGACATTCAAGCTAGACACAGAAGATCCCGAGATGTCTTCAACGAGAAGATCGCGCACGGTGGAATATGTGCAGAGTCTCCCTATCCCTCAGCTCACGAATGAGCCACAGAATGACACCCCTCCAGAAGTGGTCCAGAAAGTTTTTGCTCAAGAGACAGTAAAAGTAAACAACTCCAGTAATGATCATGGCAAAGGAACTCACCTTGACCCAGATGCCCCTTCTTTCACCCCCAGTAGACTTCCCCCTCACAGAGCTCAGATGATCACATCATCCCCTGTGCATGCTCATGATTCTGACAATAGACACAATACATGTGTAGTTGAAGATCATGTTTGTGACTCACCGGTGACAAACGCATCTAACCAGATGACGGAATTTACCAAATTTTTAGTGAAAAAGGATTTACTTTTGTCAAGACTTACAAGGTATGATGACAACCCAATGCTGTATGTTTCTTGGAAATTAAACTTCAAAGGGATCATGAAGGAGTTGGATGCGACAGCAACTGAAGAACTTGACCTCTTAGTTAGATGGTTGGGACCCGCATCATCCAGACAAGCCAACACCATTCGTGCGTGCAATGCTGACAATTCAGCTCTAGCAGTCCAGAAAATATGGGAGAGGCTCGAGGAGAGGTTTGGTTCACCCGAGATGTTGGAAAGAAGTCTGAAGGAGCGTATTACATCTTTTCCTAGAATTGCCGCCAATGACAACAGACGTCTATTCGACTTAGCTGACCTAGTCAGTGAGATAGCATCTGTGAAGGAGCAACCACAATACCGTGTTCTCTTTGGTTATTTCGATTCCTCCACCGGGATTAACCCGATCGTATCAAAGCTACCATGGAACCTACAGGAGAAGTGGGTAACAGAAGCTAGTAGATTCAAGAGACAACAGGGAAGCACCTTCCCACCCTTTTCAGTTTTTGTCAAGTTTGTACAAGACATGGCCAAGACTCGGAATGACCCAAGTTTCCAGTTCGACCGCACAGAAAGAACAAGTCCAAGTTCAAGTGTACCAAAGAAAACATCAACTGTGGTGGTTAAGAAGACAGACACTATGAGTAACGCTACTAATCAAGACAATTCACAACTGTGTCCTTTACACCAGACAAAGCATTTACTCAATGAATGTTCTGCCTTCCGCCGAAAGCCACTTGAAGAGCGCAAGAAGTTTATACTTACCAATGGTATATGTTTCAAGTGCTGCGGACCTAAGAAACACAGAGCCATGAACTGTAAGACAAATGTGAAATGTGACATCTGTAAAAAACCTTCTCATCCGAGTGCGCTTCATGTGGATGTGGATCGCCACGTAGGGGAGCCCTCACAAGAAGGAACAGTGAAGAATGCCTGCACTCAAGTTTGTGGAAAACCAAGGGGCACCAGCAGATCCTGCGCTAAGATTATACCAGTCAGGGTATATCTCAAGGATGATCCACAGGAGTGTCGCGTTGTGTATGCTCTCATAGATGACCAGAGCAGTCATTCGTTAGCAACAACACCATTCTTTGACTTCTTTTCACCTGGAAGTTCAAAACACCAGTACGTATTGTCTTCATGCGCTGGAAGACTTACTACTTCAGGAAGGCGGGGTCATGGTTACGTGATCGAGTCATTGGATTTGACATGCAAGTTGGAGTTACCAAGTGTCATTGAGTGCAATGACATACCAAATAACAGAGACGAAATACCGTTTCCTGCTGTTGCACAGCAGTACCCTCACCTTCAAGAAATTGCTGCATTCATACCTACCGTGATGGATGACGTTGAGATCGAACTTCTTATAGGACGAGATGTTGTCTCGGCACACCATGTTCTGGATCAGAAACTTGGTGAGAATAACCTTCCAATAGCTCAAAGGCTCTCACTTGGTTGGGTCATAATTGGACAAGTTTGTATGGGAAATCTGCACCATGCAAGTGTTGTTAATGTGAATAAGACATTCATACTACAGAATGGTAGACCATCTATGTTCGAACCATGCGATAGCAAATTCCATATTGCTGACAACCCATTTGTGAAAACGGAACATGACGAGAAAACAGGATTTTCTGTTGAGGACAAAGCCTTTCTTCATGTGATGGAATCCGGCATGAAAAAAGAGGAGGATGGGCATTGGTCAGCACCACTTCCCTTTCGTCAGGATAGACCAGTTCTACCTAACAACAAGGCACAAGCCCTGAGACGTGCAAAGTCATTTGATTCCAGTCTCCTACGTGACACATTGAAACGTCAACATGTACTGGAATTTATGGAAAAAATCTTCAAGCATGGACATGCTGAGAAGGCACCAGCCATCCCCCAAGGACAAGAGTGTTGGTACCTCCCCATATTTGGGGTGTACCACCCTAAGAAACCTAACTCCATAAGAGTAGTCTTTGATTCCTCGGCTCGTCATGAAGGGATATCATTGAATGACGTACTGATGAAGGGGCCAGACCTTTCGAACAGTTTACAAGGGATTCTCCTTCGTTTCCGCCAAAATGCAGTTGCCATAACAGCAGATGTGGAACAAATGTTTCACAATTTCCGAGTTGACGAGCCAGATCGCAACTACTTACGTTTCTTATGGCACCAGGAGAACAACTTTGAGAAGCCCTTAGATGAGTTTAGGATGAGAGTGCATGTTTTTGGGAATTCTCCATCCCCTTCAGTGGCCACATATGGTTTACGTCAATCCGTCGTTGATGCTGAGCCAGATGTAAAGAACTTTGTGTATCATGACTTCTATGTGGATGATGGACTCACAAGCTGTGACACTGAGGAGAAGGCAGTAAGTCTGATGAAGCAGACCCAGAAAGCACTCATGGATGGAGGTATGTTGCGGCTCCATAAGATAGCGTCCAATTCCAAGTCAGTTCTTAGCCAGTTTGACCAGGATGACCTTGCTAAGGACTTGAAGAGCATGGATTTTGGTTCGGAAGTTATGCCAGTGCAAAGGACTCTTGGCGTTGTGTGGGATATCGAGTCTGATAAGATCACATTCCAAGTTTCAAAGGAACCAAAACCCTACACTCGTAGAGGAGTACTCTCAACAATAAACAGTCTATTCGACCCTCTGGGTTTTGTATCACCTGTCACACTCAGAGGTAAATTACTACTTCGTGAAATGATGTCGTCTCCAGGCCCTACCAACTGGGACGAACCACTTCCAGAATCTTTTCACAAGCAATGGGAGCACTGGGTGAAGTCGCTGCATCATTTGGAAGAGGTTCAAGTTCCGAGGATGTATGGGAGACTCTCATTGTCCCAGGTTCCTAGTATTGAAGTCCACATATTCTGTGATGCTTCTAAGGATGCTATTGCTGCTGTGGCGTACATCAAGACCAAAGGAGAAACTTCATCAGATGTAGGATTCTTGCTTGGAAAAGCAAAGGTAGCACCCAGTCATGGCCATACTATACCACGTTTAGAGTTGTGTGCTGCCGTGGTTGCTGTTGAGTTGGCTGAAGTGTCTAAGGAACAACTGGATCTCAAGAAAGAAGATTTCCATTTCTACTCGGATAGCCGTGTGGTGCTCGGATACATATCAGCAGAAACTAGAAGATTTCATGTATATGTAGCCAACAGAGTCAGTCGCGTCAGATCGTTCTGTGGACCAGAACAGTGGAATCATGTACCTACTGAGGAGAATCCTGCAGATGTCGCCACCCGCAAGTTTACAACTTCGGATCTCTCGGGCAGCATGTGGTTAAGAGGACCAGAATTTTTACGGAGTGTCAAGGGTGATGATGTGAATGAACACTTTCCCCTTATTGATGCTGAGAGTGATAAAGAGATAAAGAAAGAGATATCGATTGCTAAGACAGAGCTTGAACTGGAACCAGTATTGGGTTCAAAACGCTTTTCACGTTTTTCAACATGGAAAAGTTTAGTGAGAGCCATAATGACTTTGAAGATGTTTACCAGAAAAACAAGCGCCTCGCAGGCCAGTGATTATACAGACTTGCTAGAGTCTACAGAAAAACTCATTATCAAGGAAGCGCAATTAGAAGCATATGGTGCAGAAATCAAGGCCATCAGGAATAACAGTGATCCCCCAAAGAACAGTCCCTTATTACCTCTGAACCCCATTTTGGATGATGATGGTCTCCTTCGTGTCGGCGGACGCATCTGTCGTAGGAAAGTCAAGCCGGATGGTGGTCAGCATTCAGCCCATCCCATTATAATACCAAAGAACCATCATGTTGCTGTTCTGATAATACGACATTATCACTCTAGAATACATCACCAAGGCAGGCACATGACGGAAGGGGCTATACGCTCTGCTGGATATTGGATCATCAACGGAAAGCGCATGATTTCATCCGAGATCCACCACTGCGTCACTTGTAGAAAACTTCGTGGGAAGTTTGGATGGGTTAAGATGTCAGACTTACCTGAGGACCGACTGCAAGAAGCTCCGCCATTCACATTTGTTGGTTTAGACGTCTTCGGACCCTGGTCAGTTGTTACGAGGAAAACACGGGGCGGTTCAGCAAACTCTAAGAGATGGGGTGTGTTATTTACCTGTTTAGTGTCTCGTGGAATTCATGTGGAACTTGTAGAGGAGATCAGTTCGGCCTCATTCATTAACTGCATGCGAAGATTCATAGCTTTACGAGGTCCAGTCCAACAGATTCGCTCTGATCGAGGGACAAATTTTATAGGGGCTGTGAAAGAGCTTAACATTGAAGCAGAGTTTGTCGAAACTGGGCCAGTTAAGGATTACCTGACTGAAAGTAAGATATCATGGGTGTTCAATCCTCCCCATGCCTCCCACTTTGGGGGCGTATGGGAACGCATGATTGGGTCAGTCCGACGCATTTTGGATGCTCTTCTCCTAGAGAACAAATCCTTTGACTTGACACATGAAGTTTTGTCAACCTTCATAGCTGAAACTTGTGCAATTGTGAACAGTAGACCACTTGTTCCAGTCTCATCAGACCCTGAGGCACCAGCTGTCCTGTCGCCATCATTGCTGCTCACCCAGAAACAACCAGATACTACATACCAATTACCTGTTAGTCCAACACCTAGCTGACGAATTCTGGTCAAGATGGAAGGCAGAATATCTGAACGTATTACAGAAACGCGCAAAGTGGTTCAGTGAAGGTGAACAATTCAAGGAAGGAGATGTCGTCCTTGTTAAAGATGAAGAATCCCACCGAAGTCAGTGGCCGTTAGGAATAGTGGAGGAAACGTATCACAGCAAAGATTCTAAGATTCGCAAGGTGAAGGTGACAGTGATTCGCTATGACTCCAGAGTATCCTATGTGCGTCCTGTGTGCCAGCTAGTAAGACTGGTTGAAGTGGTTTAGAGATGTCTGTAATTTGTAACTACTTAAACATAATTGATGAATATGAACTGTAAGCCATGTACATTTAGATGTTACAATGCAGTATATTCATACATGTCACTTTTCAACTCGAATCATTGTTGTTGATGATATGTTTACGCTAAGGATGTCACTTTTTGTTCATTTCATTTATATGGTGATTTCTGATAGAAATCAGTAGGGGAGTGTGGTGGAATTGTCATTCCGGATTTTTGTTTTTTTGTTCATTGGTCGGTTTAGGTTTTTCATTTTAGAATTCAGACATTTCCCTGCAAACACGCTGCTTGTATTTTTTGATTGTTTCCATTTGTGAAGAGCCAAAGAGTAAGTTTTATCAAGTGCATTATATTAATATGATTGTTAATGATGTATATTATTAGTTTAGTGCAGTTGTTAAGTCAGAATTTGTGCAGATTTACTTTTTACTTTATACACGTGTTTATCATTGGCTTAGGCTAGGTATAAAACATGGATTGTCTTTTATGATTTTGTATATCGAATCTCGATTTATCTCATTGATACTAACCTTATGCATAATATATAGTAATTTTGCATTAATTTGTCTCTATGCTAGATTGATAGATTTAGAATTACTGTTTGGAACTGTGTAAAACCCTCATTTTCGTCTATTTTCTAAGTTTGGTATATTGTAAAATTTGGATTGGCGTGTTAGGCTTGAATATGGTTTTTAGCTATCATTCAATTGTATTTTTGTGTGAACTCATACTTATGTATCTTTGTTATTTGTTTCAGTATTTCACCCTCTCAGGAGGAGGCACAATAAAGTTTTCGCAAGACTAAGCAGACTTGTTGTAGCACATCTGATGTAAAAAGATTTTTCATACAATATTTCCTTTTGTGTCAGACAGTAATATTTCCTTCCCAAGATCTTATCTATTTATACTGATGCTGCAATGGACTGATTTGGTATTACATACATGTACAAAATGTACATTCATCCAGCATGTGTCGTATGCAAATGCCACATCCACCATGAAATCACTGACAAGTTGTTTATTTGAAATATTTATTAAATAAAATATTCATAATTGTTCATTTTCAAGCTTGCATTACACAAGAAATCTTTTAATACTCATGAAAGCACAAGTCATATATTCATACAAGAACACACAACTGAACACAGATGTCAACCCCCTATTGCAGGATAAAAAATCATCTAATGGCCATTTTTTCATGTTAAAACTCAAAAAACTGAAATTCTTTTTTTGTGGTATTATAAGAGAATATTTTATGTTTCTCCTATCATAGATTTTTTCAAATATACAAAAAAAAACCCACAAAAGCAGCAATGAACATTCAATTTTGGTACATATAGTTTTAAACTGAACATGTAAGTTCTCAAGAAGTACTGAAAAAATAATTCTTTTTGGTTATATCCAGGAATTACTCAGTATCAAATGAAAAACAGCTGTCACATTTACATACAAAATAAAACAAAATACAGA